GTCAAAAGCGAAACGTTGCCCAGCAATAAATCCACCGATTGTTTACCAAACCCCTCTGAAACGATGACTTCCCAATCGGTCCCAAACATTTTCCAATTGACTGAGTTATAGTCGAGTTTTTTTATTCCAAAGTTTGGCGTGACACGCTCCCGAATAATTATCTTTAGTTCATGACCTCTTGACAACTGGAAGTGTGACTGTTGGGAGTCCCCCCTCCCCAGTGGAGCCACTCTTCCGGCTATCACCGTTTGGACTGTTTCCCGTAGTTGGCCTTTGTTCAAAGAAAATACTACTTCTGTGAAGTGCATCACGAAAACCCAGAACTAATTTGTCATGCACATATAATTTTAAAATAACTGTTGAGTATAGATATCTTTCCTTTCTTCCGCAGGCTGTGTCCAATGAGGCAGATCTTCTAAACAATGCTACTGACTTGCAGGCCAACTTACTCGGTCTGCTGTTCTCTCTTTTGAATGGATCGGCGTCGATGTCTGCTTACTTCGGTGCGCCAGCCCTTTCTGACCCTGGAACGGAGCGCTTCATGACAAAACGGCGCAGACGTGTTGCCTACCGTCAAGCTGTTCAGCCACTTAGTGTCGGTGATTGTTTCTTCGCCAGGTTGATCAAACATCCCAAGTTCAGTGCGACATCTCCCCAAGTTATGGAGGTATGTATTAAATTCGGGTTCACTGAATGTCCTGATGCATCGAGGCATCCCGTAGGCTAATAAGAAAATCATGCTTAATCTTCGGTGTATTTTTGCTGAAATCGTGGCTATTTTAAGGGTGTGTAGTAGTATCGATCTATCTAGATCTTTCCCAGAACTCTCGTTTTTCCTACCTATTGGCCGTGAGTTGTGGTCGAATCTGACTTCCATTAGCTGTCTCGTTATTTGATTCTTCAGATATCAGACACAGTGAAATGTGTAACGAACAGTTGACTCCTTCAGCCTCTAGTTGATATGCTCTTATTTTATAATAACATTTGGTCACCTGGTATCAGCTATATTTCGAACAAGAGAGCGCGAGAGCGTGATGGCGTGCGGGTGAGAGAGCTAAAGTTGCAACGGCCCCACGCTATTTAAAGGGGACTTTCTGACATTGATTGATAGGCGTTAGTGAACACCAGTCAACATCAATCGTGCCTCTATGAAATGCCTTTACAACTGAATGTGTGTAGAATATCATAAACGAGCGATTCAGCTGAGTCTCTCGTGAAAACCAAATTGATTTGCAAATGAGTGTATTTCTCGGTTGGTTGACAAATTGATACGCGCGCTGACAAAAGCAGAATGGGAAGAGACCACAACAGAAGTGCTGGTACGTTCCTGTTGAATTATAGAGCACCTCCTAATCCACAGTCTCCGGACGCTTGCTCTCCAGCAGAGGTTATGATGAACGGACGGTTGAGACTTATCCATGACGCTATCCTACCAATGCTTACGTGTTTTCAATCACCGACAGGAGGAAAGCCGACATTCCGGTCTGGCAACCGTTTGGTTGTCAGGACCTATCGCCCCGGGCACCGGAGATGGCTTTTGGAGTCGTCCTCAAAAGAATCGGTCAGGTGATTTACAGCGTCCAAGTGGGATCATTGATATGGAAACGACATGTCATTCAATCATGGCCGACTGAGTGCCAGATCCCAAAGGCGGAAGAACAGTTACTAGACTTCAACCTGCTGCTTAAAACCTTTGATTTTCCAAGAAGAGCACTAAAAGCCACCACTTCAGATGAGACGTCCAAGACGGATCCATTACTGCAACCGAGACGCCGTACCGGTCGCACCAGAAGACTAGTAGAACCTTTTGAGCTTGACCCACGCCGAAAACTTTACGTTGAACGACCAAAAGCGGGAGGTATCGGGAAGGTCAGATTCCTGAGAGGAACCTCAGAACGCCCGGAACCTACTGCTCCACCAAAATCTCAACAGAAAAGCCGGCAAGCATCCAGGCCAGTCAATCATTCAGTCAATTCAGCAAAAGCCGATGAGTGTTCATGCACGCCACACAAGCACGACCGAATTGATCAGCATTGATCAGGCATTTCATAGAGGCACGATCGATGTTGACAGGTGTTCACTAACGCCTAGCAGACAACCTGAATCAATGTCAGAAAGTCCCCTTTAAATAGCGTGGGGCCGCTGCAACTTTTGCTCTCACACCCGCACGCCATCACGTTCTCGCACTCTTGTTCGGAATATAGCTGTTGTGTTCCATTCTGTGAGTCTTTTTTTCAGACACTGGACACTGGAGCTATTCAGCAGCAGATACCACAGATCGGTGAATCATCAGACATAACACCTGGCGGCACAAAATCTTTCAAAGTTGTACCCCCAAGTGCCTTATAGTCCAAGTGACATTTCCAAACCGGCGGTTTTTCGGACGATTGTTTCCGGATCTCGTGTGATAAGTATAGTTATAAATGAATACAACACTGCAGAGAAATGCTGTCTGAGGGCGCCAACGTACCGCTTCTGTGAATTCGCGAATGTCATGTGAATGTTGATCGTTCAGTCGACTGACGTTCGTTCTCTTGCTGATACGGCGCACTACTCTTGGTGGCTTAAATGAACCCGAGCCATTCACAGAGCAGCTGTTAGTCCCATGGTCGATGAGCTGTAGAAAATACTGTTTGGCGGTAAGCCGACGGTCAGCCGTAAAGGCTGATCGACTTCTGTCCACCACCATGTCAAACCCCGATTTACCACAGTCAGTGCGCATCCGTGCGTGTCATGTGCGTGAGACGATTAGATGGTTCAGTGTGCACAACAGGTCCGTATGCACACCGTACATTCGGTGAACAAAGAGACGCTTAGGCACCTGAAAACAAGGTGGCGTTAGTCAGCAACAAACCCTATGGAACGATTAACAGTTTTATCGAGATTGGCTGTGCCAACCACGAAGCATGCTGCGTGAAAATTGCACAACAACAATTCAACAATTCAGAACGACCAACAAACCGGTTTGGTTCACTCGTTTAGATACTTCAATATCGTAAGCAGCTGTGATACATTCGTGTGATAATTTCGACATCGGAGGCAATTTCGTTCGAAGTGTGGTTCAAAGCGTCAGGAATTTCCACTCTCACAACGTCCATCGACGCATTTTCAGGGCATTCCACCAGGTTTTCATGAACAGGAAGTGATCCATTGGAGCTATTTACAGCACCACGGGAACATGCGGACATGCGATGCAGATCAATTCATTGTGCAAGTCGCACTTACACCTCCCAACACAAATTAAGAGGAAATGCTAAAATTCAACGCGATAATATCCATTTACTTACCGATAATTCGCATCTATTCACACGTCAATAAACCCAATAGTCCTGCAGAGAAATAAGTGAAGTTCATTCACCGGACATGAAATTCGAGTTCCTTGATTTAAAAAACACATCAAAGTATCACGATAATAACATAAGAGTTTCACAAGTGTGCACCAACAGCGGAACCCAACAGCGGAACCCAACAGCCTCCTGACCCATAACGACGAATGTGTTTAATGATATTTGGATGCTATCAAATACAAACACTTTACACAAATGTCAGCTAAACGTCCGTAGTTCCATGCAGTATCGTAGCTCTCTAGAGTTCCAAACAAATGCCACAACTGTGGCACTTTTTTTGTTCAGAATTCCAACAGTTTTCGACCAACTTTTGCTGGAATTCTAGGGATTGGTGCAGGGCGGCACATCCTAGAGGCGAAAATCGGCCCGGTGTGAATGGATTCGGCTCATAATTATTCTCAGTTGCCGCAGGTTTTCGACTGCGAAACGAATTATCCGCAGTTTATTTGGCCGATGAGACTTGAAATGGTAATTTCGTGGCACCTGACTGGGAGAAATAGATAAAGATTGTGTACTGCATTCGTTTACTTTGGCTCACGTTCATCACCAGCATCTACTGACGCCGTCCGCTCTACTTAAACCCGACTAAACGCATACATCTGAAAGATTTCGACTGCCTTTTGACACGCTTGTCTTTGCTCACCTATACTGGGGAACTCATCCGGTTTTAGTTGACCCAGTCATCTAGTTTGGACCGTCAGTGACATACCAGACACTACCGGTGCTCTCGGCCACTCACGAGAAGTGAGCGGGAGCGGATCCGTGACCGGTCGATTCATTTCGAGGAATTCATCGCAAATCAATTCCTCACACAGTTCCACATAAAAGATATCAGCCTAAAAATCCCATCGTTTCATAGTGCAAATTTCTTAAGCCCACTCAGCTGACATAATTTTGGTACAACTGTAGTGACGGTTGAACAGCCAGTCATGTCCGACAGTCTATTGTGTTGTGATGGTTGGTCGTTGGTCCTATTGATGAATTTATGATGTGTAGAACTGATTTGTGGTGAATCAACTGAAGTGAATGCGAACCTACTCACTGGTCCATATCCTCCCCAACCCAAAACTTACCGATAGATTCGGTATTTTTCAATACGTTAGGTTGGACACAAATTATGACAGCTGTACTCAATTATTGTGCAACAAATTGTTCCAGCTAGTGCAAAATGTGTTCAAAATGTTTTCAACCAGGGTACCTTTTAGCAGATGCTGTTGCTTCTACAGGGTAGGTCTGAGTAGGTCGAACCTGCCTTGGTTTGCGGTTTTGTATCGCGTCGTCGCTAGGTGGTCTCATGTGGATATATTGACCTTTCCGTTAAATGGACCAGTTGTCTGTCTTAGGCTTCTTCGGCGTAAATCGTCCTTTCAAAACTGAACGATCGCAAACTAACTACAAGTTTACTTATGACTACGGTTGCGCTTTATGGAGACGGAGTGCAGTGTTCATAACTCGGTTTTCAACACAAAAGTTCAATGTCTTGATGACTTTCGATGCATTGTCCTATTTGTGAATTTTTAACCTCTTCTTCAGGTGCTTTTGAATCAGCTTTTTGCCTTCAAAGAGCAATCCACCATTGAAACAGCTCAAGGGACACTGGTAGCCAGTCCACCTGCCTTACTTATTAACCCCGGTCTCTTACGATGCTTCATAGCCTTTGGAGTTCAAGCGTTCTGGTGTCAAATTAGTTGTTTCGGTGAACAACGCCGCGTCATACGCCCTGAGGATCTTCAGAAACATCTCATTCCTCGAGCTGTTGGCCTCATGTACCTTACGCTTTCCGCTTCATCAACCACTTGTTCGTCGTTGACAGCTTACCTTATTGATCGCTGGCAATTGCTCCCGGTGGCTTTTTCCGCATTCCGCGTAAGTTTGTTTCAAATTGTACAGAATTTACATCCGTTTTATTTACATCAACAGCAATTCTTCTAGAAAGAGAACTGGGTTTCGCTGAGGAAGCTTGTGGAAAACGATTAATAAACTATTCGCTCAATTTATATTCCCCAATTTGTCATTTACAGCAGGAAGGGGTCGAATATGTGCGAAATAATCTGGATACCACCATACCTTACAGTTTTACTGTGTACACACTGGCTTCTTAAAGACCCATTTCATGAAGGCAACGCTCATGATAGTCATAAATGGTAAAATCGGCTCACACAAGATGTATTTTTGGTCAAATCAACTGAACAGTTTTCGCGGGTAAGTAAAGGTACGGTGGTTTTCACTGAATCGGTTTTAAGTGGTCGGATGGGTATGTCGCGAATGGAAAGGTCCCATACCAGCTATCCTGTCGGTTCCTTTTTGGTTATGCCTTGGTGAATCTGCCTGGGTGCGATACTTCTTGAAACTGGCTGGATGAACCACGAATCTGGGGCATTTTGACTTCCGAGGTACAAGCACCTACATGGCTGGAAAATGTTTTCAAAAGTCGTCTGATTACACTAATTTCACTGTAAGTTCTGACGATTGAGACTCCGCAAAGTGAATACACTTCCTTTAGAAGAAAAGAATTCAGAGCCAGTAGGCAATGAAATCATTTGTTTCACCGAGTATTCGAGCCGGCTAAGTGCAGGAGTAACAACATTTTGGCTACACAAAGGTTGGTCGTTCACGGGGTTGAAGTATTGAAATTCAGTACTTCACAAAGACGCTCTTGGTACTACGTCGATACTATGTCAAGAGATTGTGTTAGCAAATACATGTTTTCACTCGTTTCTCATTTCTGATTGTTTTCGGTCTTATACTCTTTATCCTAATCGATCTGCGAAGAGTAGGACATTTCTGGCAGTTGTGTGGCGTTCATCCATATAATCAGAAAATTCGTCGGGGAATCTGAATTGTAGATGCGTACTCTTTTAAAACGGTTGCCTGAAAATTCGTCAGCAACTACGAACAAAGTGAATTTCCTGTCTTTTCTTGTCCTAGAATGATTGACCACTGTCACATTTGATTTTGACACGACGCTATGAATCAGTTGATTTCAGTGTGTTCTGCACCGCGGATGTCATGCCGCGTTTGGCTCACACGATAGGGCTGCTCTGTCCATGTCCGTGACACAGAGGTTCGAGACGAGTGAGGTCAGGCTGTCTGGATGAAACCACCGAGAGCCTGAAACACAATTTAGAGGGCTTACTTCATGCAGGTTGAGGGCAAGACTTTAAGGACAGGAATGATTTTCGGGTCAGTGCAGATCGAGGTTGAACAACGCACTGGTCTAGCTGTATGTTTGGTGTGGTAAAGTACAAATCACCAACGCATGTAACGAACACCGCTTGCACTAAGTCCGAATTCAACCCGGCAGATTTCACAAGCACCTCATTCAGGCATTGACTCACGCGCGATTTCAGGCCTTTTGCATTTTGTATCCATCCATTTCCATAAAGCCCGATCACCCAAGTGAGTCATCTGCCTCTTTGGGAGTCAAGTTATTTGTATTCTTTTGAAAAACACCTAGTAATAAAATAAAGATAAATTAAGCAACTTCGGCTTTAGTTTCCGTGTCCGGCCTTGCCAGTGTGTCTCCGCGAACGTACTTTCCGTACGGGATGCAATCCTTCCCTCATTAGTGTGCATTTTCAGTTCACTATAACCAGTGTGTGGCGAATCCTAACACTGATAAAGTAAAAAAGTATTTCGTTGATCCTCAGTTTTCGTTCACTATAAATATTCGTTCAAAAGGTATAGACGCACGAATGTATTGAGTACGAACTTGTATGAGTGAAGTATCAGCTGTGATCCTCGCAAAGAAGTCGGACCTCAGTTTGTTAGGGAAACAGGTAAATGGTTTAAGAATGCTCCGTGTTCCGAAAAGGTCCTTTGGATCTTAACCGTTTGTCGTAAATGAACCTCCAAGACCGGATGACCGCTTGTTCCACAGGACTGTCGCAACCCGAAGTATTATTTGATATTGTAAGAATGTGGCATTATCACATGCATTTTGACTACGCGCAACTGATGCTGAAAGACGAAAACCTATATGGCTTCATAAAGTCCCATATAGCGATGGGTTTTGAACGTGTTCGCATGTCCAGTTACTGTATTCTGAAGATATTACTTCACTGAAAAGCAAACTTTTGGGGCATCATCACAATCATCGACGTCATAATATCAAAGTAGAACACTGATACTTCCCTGCCGTACAACCATGATTTATTTGAAAGCCTTTTTTTGAATAAAGGAATACAAGTGGACCGTGAGGGGATTTAGTACTAGCCTATAACAATCATTCTGAGATGCCCATACCTCCAGACATTCATTCAGACAATCTGAAGAGAAACTGATGGCAAGAACACCACTAACCTCGATTGGCAGACATATCTTGCAGCGTCTCCAATCAGGCGCAATCGATATCACGCGGTCTCAATCCTGGAATTCGATTAGCATTGACAGCACCCAAACGTTTCGTAATCTGTTTCATAACCTTCTGCCAGCTCAAGGGTTGGTCACCTTTTTGCTTCTATCACTCTGCATTGGACCCGGAAAACAGCACTCCATTCGGCAAACGATGGTTGGGTATACGCAATACATGGCCTAACCAACGCAGCTCCTGGTGCTGGACGCATTATTCAATGGAAGTATCCTTGACACAAACGAAAGCTCGCTTTCTAACTGTCTGCTCGAACAGCCCAAGTCTCACAGCCATACAACACAACAGCGCGCACTGATACACCATTCCCTTTAGGCTCAGAAATATACCGCTTTGGCGCCATAGGTGCTCAAATTAGCAAACGCGACCCGAGCTTTGTGGATTCGTGCATTAACCTCATCTGTCGTACTACAATCAGAACTACTACAACTTCCAAGATGCGTGAAACACTTAGCAAATGCGACTCGAGACTCACTGATTTGTGCATTGTCTTCCGAGATATGTGGCACGCTTCATAACTTCGAATGCCTCTCCATAGATTGTAAGTGGCTTGTTCAGTGGATGAATGTCCACGGGAAAAACCTTACAAATTATGTGTGCGTAGCGCATGCCAAAGAATTTTGGTCAGAAATATTTACGCTTTCTCCTCTTCGAAGACGAGAACGATGTCGTTTGTCTATTCCAGATCGAGAAGATTTTCGTCAGAGGCTATTTGAACTCCGGGGTTTTGAAGGCCTTTCAGTGTTCACCTCATTATCTCGTTTATGACGAAATTAAATAGAAATTGGCTGGCTTCGTTCTGGGAACTGATGGAGTGTGAAGATCTGGTCAACGTAAATCCTACCAGGGTGGAATCCCGCTTACTGTTTTCGAGTCAGTGTTCCACGAGCCACCATAAGGCGACGAAATACCAGTGAGGTCAACAGTCTCGTTACAACCGGGTCAAGCTGCTCCTCCTGTTGTTACCACACCGTCATCGATGCTCCGTAGTCGTCTTGGACAGTCTGCATGCTGGTGTGAAGTCACTCGAAACTGATGCTCGGTTGCGCTTCAGAGGACAGTTGCAGTCAACCCTCAGCTGGTCGCTACGTTTTATTGTTATGTATAAAATATAACAAATAAGCACACGAAACTCGCGAGCGAAAACGCACCCAGCGTGACCGAATCGGTCAAGCAGTGAGGAGAGAACAATTTAGTTGTCAGCTCCGACTTGGAAGCTAAGTGTACATGCTTGTTACTTGACGACTGAATGAGATCATGTTCCACCTTCTGTTTTTCGCTCGCGAGCTTCCTGTGTTAGTTTTTCTTTTTTTCCATACATAACGACAAGACGTAGTTACCGCCTGATAGCTATTTGAAAACAATTTGCCCAAAAAGCTCTTCCCTGAATATATGATTTCTGTTCATTTGAGGCGGCCAGTTTTTTGTTCAACCTCACTGGATGCTTTACTAGCATTGGAGATACACCATCTCCTCTAGTGCTAACACTCACGTCTAGTTTCGTCCCCTATTTTTTCCCTAGTTTCACAAATTTCGGTTTATTTATCTTTTGGTTTGGTTAATTTACTGGTCTATATTGTCCCATCTCACTTCTTCCACACTTCAGGAGACATTTCTACTAAGTCGAGTCAAATGTCCCCTTCCGCTGGATACGCTTGCCGTGATTTTGACGCCGTTACTTATTTTATCTGTTCGGCGGCTCATTTGGTATGATTCCAATGAACAGTCGTCTGCAGAATGTGGAGGAGTTTGGTCGGAAGATACTGAATTGCGGGCGCTCTTCGACGGACTTTGTCGATTGGTCATTGCACTGGATGCCGATATGTTCCTTGTTGCTGCCGAACATGTGTTTTCCACAATAAATGATCAATCTCCATCGTATGGTAGTATACCTTCCGAGATCGATATTCTTGACTCCACTTGGATTTCGTGGCACAAACGTACTGCTTGTTGTATTCGACCGGAACGGTGGCTCATCTGGATGCGCGGCGCAACTGAAACCAGTGAGGAAATTCGATGTCAGATTTCCTTATGTAGTTTATATTTGCTTACGCTGTGTTTTACCGTTTACCGTAGGTTTCATCTGAAAGCATGCAAGCTGACCCACTCATCGTAAGATTGCTGATAGGTTTCTCCCATTATTCTTGACCATAACCTTCCGTATCGTATTCCAAGTTGCAAATGTGTCCGAAAATTTGTCAGATATCGTGGAAACGGAAACAAAAATACGCGTATTGTGTTACGTACAGGCAAAAAGTATACTAAGTTTGTTGATGTGGTATTATTATTTTTTTACCACAAGTTCTGAAATAGGATATTCGTGTTTTTAAGGCCTTATTGAGGAATATAATCCGCTTCTGAATAATACAGCAAGAAGACAGAAACTGGGGAATTTCGACACTACGTTTTTATCCCTTCAGCTGCAATACCATTAAATTTGCGTTGTAAGCAGAGATAAATATGGATAAAACAATGAAACGGAACCAATTCTATGGTGGGCCAATCGATTCCGGGTCTGAATTTCAAGGCAAGCTTGGGTCACGGTCTTTTATGCGCACAAGCGGGGCGGTACTGATTGACCAACGTGTCCTCACTAAAAGCTAACAATTCCAAGTTGCCTTTGCGCAGCAAAATTCTGAATGCTATAGTGGGATTAACTGTGTCGATGAGGCGTGTTTTCTGGTCCCACCCGGTCGATCGACTAGTCCACGTGGCTCAGCGAGGCAAATGTTCCGAGATGCGTTCACGTTAGTTCATCTGCCCTATCTATGTAGGTTACACAGCAGCCGCGTGTGACCCGGTGTATAATGTGTGGGGCGGGGAGATTGAGTACATTATACTGCGTTTATCGGAAATTGACTTGTCTCCTTGATGAGAGCAAGATTAGTTGAGCGTCTGGGTATACACACGAACGATTGCACAGACGTGATCTGTGCCCTAGGGCTGCGGTTAGATGATATCCCCTTATTGAATAGCCAGGTTACGGCAGAGAATCATAACTGCCATCAATGACGTTGCTGTCTCTGATGACTGATTATGGATAGTCAGGATCTCGGTCATGGCGTGTTATGGATGTTGATAAATCTCTCTGAGTAGCCGTTAGTAATCAGAGTCCTTTTTAATAACTTCTCTTTCCGAAGAGAGAGGAGTGCAAATCAATCTGGTGCGGTCGAACGAAGTGCGTGCCGTGTTTCTTTTATGAGCCAATGGAGTAAATCTGGAAAATTGTTTCCATGTCCACGAGGTACATTGAATACTTAAAAGTGCCACCTGGGCGTCTGGCAATGAGAGTTCTGCCTCGAAAGGAACTGAAATGTTTGGATGGAAACCGTCCATGCGGTTGTACAGTTTCCCAAAATGGTCAGAATGTGAAAATTAAAGTGCATTTTGCAAAGCATGGCATCAGAGTGCTGATCGGAAAGCTACCATTCATTCACGCTTAAAAAACTCTTGTACTAGTGATTGGAGCGGACCACCAACTGCTACACCATCGACTGCAGTGAAGCGTCAGAATGTGAAAATTAAAGTGCATTTTGCAAAGCATGGCATCAGAGTGCTGATCGGAAAGCTACCATTCATTCACGCTTAAAAAACTCTTGTACTAGTGATTGGAGCGGACCACCAACTGCTACACCATCGACTGTACGGCAGTGAAGCATTAGTGCCAACACTGATGTTGCTGTATTTGATGATGATGATGATGATGATGATGATGACACCATCGATTCGTTTACATGCTTGGCCCTTAGATTCAAAGCGGAGGAGGATCAACTCTTCAATATACCAAACGGATACATACGGGAATTTCGTGGGCGGTAATAAGGTCGTACAAATAGTCAAAGCTACAAAGTGTCACTGGTGAATGAAGACTTGACGCCCATAAAAACCGTGTTTTTTACTGTCATTTGGTCCAGAATTTGTGCAAGTTCAAAGGAATCCTTTACACACTGCCGTACTAGAGCCTCACGGATAGGATTTAGAATTTTGGCTAACCATTCGGCTAACTTGTAATGAACGGAATCATGTGTAGATGGAATGTGGATCCCATCTGTGTAAACTTTGGGTGCTCCCCGTAAACATGGTGCCGTAGTTCCGATAGATGTGAACCGCT